ATCTGTGTGGTATCCATGTGAAACCAAAAACTTTGAGAATAAACAAAATAATAATAATAATAATAAAAAATTGTAGGTCTTAATAAATATGACAAATTTTCTAGAATTGATACTTATGCAAAAAAAGAGTACCAAGTACATAGTATAAAGAAGGGGTCATAATAAGTAGACACCATCCAATGTTGTAAAACTTTGTCAACTCAAACCATGAGAACCCAAATTCCTCGGTATCTTGGATTTTGTACTTATCCCTTTATACATCCCCACCCTTCCTCTCTATAGAGATTCTGTATACTATGTGAAGCAATCAATAATAATGAAGATAATTCAAATATCAGGAAAGTAATCAACAGTGCATTCAAATTCATGGTTGTCAACTACACATGTTGTATTTATACAAAACTTTCGACACGTTGCATTTATGTAATATCTCCATTAAGCTGTGCAGCTACAGAACAACCATTGGTCAACTAAAACTTTTAAAATCTAATTTACATTGTATGATGAATTAAGATACTCCTGAATTATCTTCATTAACTCCACTTTTGTTTGAAAAAGAATGTGCTTCTGAAGTTGATTACAATGGACTCATATCAATACTTTAGTACATGAGAAAACTTGTGACTAACAACTGATTAACATAAAAAAGCTTTAATGATTTTAGTTCTTTAATAACTCAAATTGCTCTCTTTTTTTAGTTGGCTCGTATACAAATCAATGAAATTTTCACATTTTCGTTTATTTAATTCTTCACACAAACACATTTTTCAACTTTCATACATTGTCATCTTCAGGCTATGAAATAAATTAATGTAAAACAATTAAATTATGAATCAATTACTGAAAACTAAAACTAATTACATTCTCTAAATTCTAAAAATGAATTCCTTTTTTTAACACTTTGGTCATTTTTCGGCGGAAAATCGATTTCGAGATTTCAACGGAAATACACGTTTTGGGTTCCCCTCATAGCGAAAAAGAGTTGTTGTTTTTAATGTCCATCCGTCTATCTGTTTTCCGCAGCATTACATAACTTCCCCTGCTACGTATATTACGACGTATTCGGGAAAGAAAAATGCACCAGATTATTCCATTCCGGAAATTGCGAGAATCAGTTATTTTTTTCGTGTTTTTTTTTCGTATGAATGAAAAAACTGACATAACCAAACCAATAAAATAATCATATAATACAAAATAAAATACAAAAATATATGCATATCTGGATATGAAATATAAGTAAAATGTAATAATATTGAACGACCAATTTATCAAACAAAATAGTTTTAATTTAAAATTTACGTTTCGGCTATGTTTTTCGTCCTTAACACAACAATAATCTACAATTGAAAATAGTGGTGCTAAAACAGCCCGTACTATATGCGCACGTTTTCTTGACACTCCTGCGGCAGATGCGGGGAGAGGCGGGATGTACTACGCCACCGTAGTGCAGTAGTCAACGTCATAGACAGA